TACGAGTTCCTTATACGTTTCCACATTTCTTGTTCAATCAGCACCAAACGTGACACAGTGATACAGGATGACATAAAAAAGGTCATGGGGGAGTTGGATCCCCCATCTAATTTGATATCTAATTTTCGAAAAACTACCAAATCAGCACAACTTGACATGGTGATACAGGATGACATGAGGAAAGCCATGCAATATTTTTGAGTAAAAAATTGTTTTAAGTAGGGGATTACATTTTGTAATTAAAATTTCAATTCATGGTAACGGAACATTCATCTATTACGAAAGGATTAAAATGAGGTATTCCTTACCTTTGCCAAGTCAAAATCTGCTTGTTTTCTATGCTTCCAAAACATCATAGAATGAGGTGATTTTATCTTTAATAATGGTTCCCCATAAATAAATAGCTTGATCATTAGGCCCAGTATTATAGTGAAGTTGATAATCCAGACCGTAAACGATGAAAAGAACCAGTTGCTCCACTTTCCTAACGATGTTAAAAGAAAAAATTGCATTTTTCTAGGGAAAAACCTTTTGAGATTTTATCTTTAGGCTTGAAAAAGCACACTGAAGAAATAGATGTAATAAATTATGTAACAGCAAAGATAAATTATTTACTTAAAAATTAAATCTCCACTAGAAAATGTTATAACATTTGACAATAACTTCAGTAATTCAAACCTTTTAATATTATATTATATTACTGTGACTACAGCTTAATTAATACAATTTTTGTAAAAACAACTATCGTGAAGGTTATAGCAATACTTCAGAACTAACCTTCGTAATCATCAGCCGGGGATGAAGATAAAATAGTTCTGCCAGTCCACAGAGATGATAGTGCTTCAGGATCAGTAATGCCATTTCTGTTAGACAGAAGATGGCTGAAAGGATTAAATGATAAAATAGCCAAAACAAAAACACAGAGTGCCATACGAGAATGATCCAACATTCCTGTGGTAATAAAGTTATCAGATTGATCTACAGATTTAGAAGATCCCAGAAAAGAATCAAATTTAGAGCCATCTGGAGAATAAAGGTGAGGTGAGAATGCCTCTGAAGAGCTACTGTCTTCATGTAACCGTCGGGATTCTTCTGATGGAGGTGGAGAAAACTCAGAAACGATGTTTACGTCTGCTTTAAGAAGTTCTGAACTCAAATCTCCATGTTCTTCAGTTTCTAAAAATTACAAAACAGTAACTCTTCCTATTAAAAAGATAATGCTTTTGGGAAAACAATATTGTCAATTTTAAATAATAAGTTTATCTTCCAAGAACACAACATACGATATAACGACTGACTGAGATTTGTCATTAAATACACAGAAGAAAAAGTGAAAAATTAAAATACATAAAATTCTGTGTGTAACAAAATGTAAAAAAGTACAATAATAATTTTAAAAAATTCATAGAAAATTATTAGTTTTTTTTCTATAAAAATGTAAAAATAGTGTATGTAAAGAAACCGTGGCATTCAATTCTAGCAAACAGACCAAGAGAAAGTTAAGCCTGAGGACATGTTATGTAAACAAAGATAAAGTTTTATATTATCACCAAACACTTGCATCATTATTTTACTTTCAATTCATTCAATTCTAGCAAACAGACCAAGAGAAAGTTAAGCCTGAGGACATGTTATGTAAACAAAGATAAAGTTTTATATTATCACCAAACACTTGCATCATTATTTTACTTTCAAACCAAGCATGTTCTTTGTGATTCACAAGAAGCATTAAAAGTAACGGGTAAGCATTAGATACAAGCCAACTATTTTTCAATGTGATGAGACTAAACCCACACTGTGTTATCTTAATTCTGTGTTGAAACTCTTAGTATATCATTAATCGTTCTCTTAAGACACAAAAAAAGTGACTTTTTTGGCTTGTTTGGAATTTTGCACAAAGCTAAATGTGGTCTATCTGCATTAGCCATTTCTAATTTAGCAGTGATAGACTTGAAGGAAAGCAGCTAGTCAACACCACCAACTTTTAGGATACTCTTTTACCAACGAATAGTGGGATTGACCATCACTTTATAACACCCCCCCCCCCCCAACTGGCTGAAAGGGTGAGAATATTAAATTAGGGGATTCAAGCCTGCGACCAACCCCACAGATTGCGAGTCAAGCATCTTAACCACCAGGCTGATGTGACACGTAACTTTAAACTTTCCTATAAAGGAAAAATAAAAGTGTAATTTCAAACTTACTCTGCACTTTGGAAACCATTTTCAAGGCCATGTTTTCCTGTCTAAGTTTCTTGTTAGCATTCTGAAGAAATCTGATATAATCAATGGTCTTCTTCAAAACTGCAGACTTGTTGAGCTACATAAAAGAAATTAATATGAAAAAACTGATTACGTTATTTCATGCAATATTCAGTGAGATATCATATTTTCCCCTTAACCCTAAACATTCTGGCAGAGAGATGTTATATCTCCCATTTGTTTGTTATTGTTTTTTTTTCACACTTAAAAGGCTTAACTAAATTGAATGAAATTGGGTATACACTTTCTACATAATACGTAGTTTGTGCTTAAAGAAAATTATTAAATTAGTGTAGTATGTGAATAATATTTTAGGTTGTGAATTTTTGTAAATTTTGTTTTGAAACATACACCCTTTTGTCTTTTTTTTTATTATCATTAATATGTGTCAGATCATGTAAATGTATCCAATAGCCATTTTTCAAGAAAACTATTATCGTTTTGTGTGTGTTGTTCTAGTAACAGCAACTCATTTTTCATATCTATCCATACCAACACTTACATACAAATCAAATAGCTACTACAAGAAAATAAGAAATAAATAAAACTGGATCTTTTTTAATATCAGAAAGTTCCATTTTATGCATCCAATTAGGTCCAACTTGTTTTATTTTCATCAATTATTTATACTTGTGGAAGCTGATATGTAGCCGTGAAAACAGCATTAAGAACAACGTACATTCATGTCCTAGGCCTACACTGATACAGGCAGTCTTTTTCCAGTTATATTTTTCATTAAGTTTGATTTCTCTTTAATAATTATAGTTTGTTTTTACTAACTAAGGAGTCATTGTATGTGTTGTTTAAGTAATAATACATTTATTATATATTTTGTCATCTGAAAGTACCAAGGCAGAACTTCTAACTTCTTGTACTAACTAACCCTAAATATTCTTACTTTACATCTTGTCATCTAAAAATATTCCTGTAGTTTTTAAAACAGAGATATTAAACACAAAATGAATATCACAAACAAAAACATCATCAAAAGAAAATCCCATGTTTGTGGCTTGTTCCTACATTTTGTAAATTTTACATTAGAATCCTTTGTTCTCCACTATGAGAACTTCTGCTATTCGCTTTCTCAGAAATCACACATTATTGGATAGACTAAAATATTTTCCTATCCAATCATCTTTAGCCATTGGTCCATAAAGGCTTATCAACACGGGATACGTGAAATAGTCAAAAGGAAAGTCAGACAAGAAACATCACATTGGGTAAGTCTATTTTAAACGGTTTGCTTTGGTTTTGAATTTTGTGCAAAGCTACACAAGGGTTATCTGCACTAGCTGCCCCTAATTTTGCAGTGAAAGACTAGAGGGAAGGCAGCTAGTCACCACCACCCACCACCAACTCTTGGACTACTCTTTTACCAACAAACAGAAGGATTGACCATCACATTATAACACCCCACATGGCTGAAAGGGAGAGCATGTTTGTTGTGAAAGGGATTCGAATCCGTGACCCACAGATTGCGAGTCGAGCGCCCTAACCACCTTGCCATGCTGGGCCTAAGGATGGACAGAGGCGAGCCAACATGTCTTTTCTGCTATGTAGTATGAGTATATATATAAAAAGAAAAAAGATTAAACTTTCTTTTGGTGCAACTACTTTTGAAACTGAACAATATACAAATTATGAAATTAATCTCTTATTTCAAAATGATTTTATGAATGTCAAAAATTTAAATATGAATATGCTGATGTATAATTTTTTTAATTTGTATGAACACCCAATTTTTCAGTTAGGACTTTTCCATACATCATAGTTTATGGATTTAATACCACACTACACAAAACTAGTAAATATTTTGGGGTAGTTCTTAGTTAGTCAACATACATTTGTTACTAGTAAAATGTTGCCTTTCACAGAAAATTACACCACTTAGTTATTTTAAAATTCCAAAAACATTCTTATCGATATCATCATGAAAGGATAATTTATCCAAAAGACACTGCAAGTATGCTACCTTATCCAGGCTACCGTGATAACACTAATGAAAACCCACCATCATATGGATTACTCATAAAGAAAAACTACAATATATGCGAACCAATTTTACATTTCTGTAATATAATATTGTGATATATATATATAAAACTATTATAAACACAAACTTAAGTTGTTACGAAAATCACTATAACCCTTTTCAGACGGGTCACGGGTGAAGGGCCATGTCATCACATTTGTTGAATTGCATTCAAAATTTTATTGAACTACTATTTCATTAATTTATGTCAATAACTTTGGTATCAAACTGTAGATTATAATTCACATTTTAGTATTATACATTACTCAATTTCTTAATTCAAAAGTAAATATTAAAAGAAAAACAGTTAAACATCAAATTTTGTGTGTGTCATGTGGTATGTTGAATGCAGTTCAAATTAGATTATTGTGATGTCAAAATACTAAGTCTATAGTTTTGTATGAATTAGGAACTCAAATTACAGATATTGACAAGCTAGAATAGAAAATAAAAACCACTTATCTTTTCTATTACTGATAAACTCCCAAATTTCGTTAACATACGCTTACTAATTTAAAAGTTATAGCATGGAAACTACGACAAGCACAAAATTGTTACGAGGTCAGTCCCAGGGACTGAGCCTGTGCTGAAAAGATAACCAAGATATGCATACAATTTTTTATGATGAGCCTGTTATACCATGAAAACTACTGAAACAGAAAAATATTAATATTACTTGCATGGGCCGTAAAAGTACATAAACGTTTTACTTAACCGAATTACTTACATTTTTATTGCCTGTAGTTCAAAATGCAATGAATCAAAATTAATTTTTCTTCACCAGGAAAAAAAACAACTTAAAAAAAAAACCTCTATTTTAGTTAAATGCTATCCAAGCTAGAATAACATTAATTTCTCTCAAACACAGACTGTAAATGTTTTTCTTATAAAAATTTACTAACAATCTTACCTTTGCATCTTCTCCGGCAACTATATTTTTTAATTCCATGATTCTATCATTAATGCTACTTCGGTACCTCCGTTCTATAACATTATGAGCACTACGTTTCTCTCCTTTCTCGGGCACGGTTTTCAAAGTTGTTATTCTGTAAAAAGATAGTAGTCTAACTTATCAAAAGATACGTTATACTTCTAGGAAAGATTATACACTTATCAGAATATCACATGTTAAAAACATAATCACGAACAAAACTAAATAACACATTTATTAAAAACATAATCATGAACAAAACTAAATAATACATTTATTAAAAACATAATCATGAACAAAACTAAATAATACATTTATTAAAAACATAATCACGAACAAAACTAAATAACACATTTATTAAAAACATAATCACGAACAAAACTAAATAACACATTTATTAAAAACATAATCACGAACAAAACTAAATAATACATTTATTAAAAACATAATCACGAATAAAACTAAATAATACATTTATTAAAAACATAATCACGAATAAAACTAAATAATACATTTATTAAAAACATAATCACGAACAAAACTAAATAATACATTTATTAAAAACATAATCACGAATAAAACTAAATAATACATTTATTAAAAATGTAATTGAACATTTTCAATTTTTAGATCCAATACAATAGAGCTTCAGTGTCTTGTGGCTCATACTAATTTTGGCCTAGTTCATTGATTTAACAATGTAAAATTAAGTCCAACAATTTGGAAAACGGCTTAGTCCCAACTAGTTTATAAACTACAGTCTCATCAACATTTCATTTCTTTTTTCATGATTCTGCATTTATAACCTGAGCTTGCAAAGTCAACAGTAGTACAACTGTACATAGTGCAGGTTAGTTAAAACTTGAAACTTATTTATTAATTGCTGACTTTCCTTTTACGTTTGTACTTAATTTCTTAGAAAAGGGTTTGGTTTCAATTTTGTACAAAGCCACATGAGGGCTATCTGCACTAGCCATCCCTAACTTTGCAGTGAAAGACTAGAGGGAATGCAGCTAGTCAACACCACCCACCATCAACTCTTGGGTTACTCTTTTACCAACGAACAGTTGGATTGACCATCACATTATAATGTCCCCACAGCTGAAAGGGAGAGCTTGTTTGGTGGAATAGGGATTCAAACCCTCGACCCTCAGATTGCGAGTCAAGTGCCCTAATTACCTGGTCATGCTGGGCCTCTCTTCAGAAAAAAAAAGAATCATTACTATAGTGAACACTGCATTACTAAATCCAAAAACAATTTCTATACTTCTATTTCACAGCTATCCAAATACACAGAGACCATTTTTATTGACAGAAATGATTAAATTTCAAAAAAAAAAGAAATGGTGGTTTATGAAACAGACATACAATAACTTTATAATCCACTTCTGTTACATATCTAACACACCTCGCTTCGTTAAACAATACAAAACATCAATCACACACCTGTAATGTGTACACAATTTACCCATGTGCATACATACACATAGAAATGGCAGTATAGGCAGATATTTATGCTCAGCCTACAAAACAAACAAACACTGATCTCAGTCTTTATTTTTTTTTTTTAATAATACTGAATACAAACCTGTTTATTGGCAGTTTATCTGGATCAAGTACAACAGGGATTCCAGTTGTCCATATTGCACTTGCTGGTTGTGTGCTGACCACTGTCTGAACTGGTGAAGCAGTTGTGTCCATGACATTAGAAACAGTTGTGAAAGATGGTGGGACACAAACCACTGGGGTGGTTGTGTAAGTAATGAGCCCTTCTTCAGTTTCCTTTTTCATAAGTTGAGCCTGAAGTAACAACTGAAGAAGTAGAAGTTACAAACTTAACTCGAAACTTGATCAAACATAACACAACTAATCCAATCTTCTTAACATCGTTTCATGTTCATATAGATAGTTTTTTTGTTGTATAATTAACAATACACAAATAACTTAAACCTTAGCATATACTTCCAGACTTTTCACAGTTTCCTTTGGCTATGTCCCCAACCAAACAGAATTCACAAATTTTGCATCATAACATGTTAGCTTTTGCTCTAAACCATCAATACAGCTGTTAGGATGAATCGATGGTGCACCCAGAAAACTTTCACACCACTGCATGCCATCACTTCTTTATAAAATCTTCACCAAATTCGTGTTACAAACCTTCGGCATGTGGTACCATTTTAATTTTCTTTCCAGTTGTAGGCTGGATGTAATGCTTTGGGTTCCGATTTCATATCTCACAATGCTGATTATTCCAGCATTCCATTAATTGTACTAATTTAAAAAACAAACAAATTAACCTCCGTACAAACAGAGGATGTAGCTGAAATAGGCTCATTCCAATTAGAAATTTGGAAAAGTAACGAAAAATATTTGCCAAGTTCTATTCTTGTTTACAACTTATGCTTTGCAATCTTGCAAACGAAAGTCGGTAACTGTTATTAATGATACAAACCCTAAAGTACTCCGCTCAGCATTTACTTATTGTGAAAAAAGAAGCAATTAGGGATCTCAGTTCAATTCAAAGGAATTCTCAATTTGAAAGTTAATGTAACCTGCAACAAAACTCTGATATGAGTTTCGTTTGTAGTGCTGTGTAAAGTTTTGGTCCATTTGGAACACGAAAGTTTGTTTCTAGTTAAGCACAGAGCTACACAAAGGACTATCTGTGCTCTACCCACCATGAGAATCAAAACCCGGTTTCTAGCGTTGTAAGTCCGCAAACATACCGCTGTACCACGGGGGGGCGGAACAAGAAAGAATGATTATATTAGACAAGCTATTGTATTAACGTAATTCCTGGTTTAAGACATAAATCTGTATGGAAAGGCTTAGAGCAGGGATTCTCAAAGTGTGGTACTCGTTCCACTGGTAGTAAGTGGAGTATATGTCGGTGGCGCACGACACGATTAATGTAAAAAATCATAACATTTGTAATAAGCCCAATCTAAGCTTTCCGCATACATATACATGCTACTCTCCTCACTTATAGACCCACCCTCTATTTGCATAGACTCGCCAGTATTTTCCTCCCTTAAAATTGACAAAAATGGTAACACATATTCATCAAGCATGCCAGAAAAAACAATCGTAACCTTCGCACTAATGGGTAAGTTTTAAAAATATGAATTTTTGTTACTGGGTTTTTTTAATTTTTTGTTCTTTAAATTAGATCTGGATTTGTAATTTAAAAAATTAAACAAAAAGTGGTAAACGAGCCTGAAACATTTGAGAACCACCGGCTTAGAGCTTAACTTCTTTGCTTTAGAGTGCAGAATTACGTGGAAACCTGATTAAGGTACTCAAAATTGTTAGGAGCTATGTAGTATTACGACAATGCATACTTCTGGTTAGACTGGTATGTTAAATTAAATCTATTAATTACAGTTTGCCATTTCTTTTTCGTTCTACCTGAACTTTTTGACAAGTGTTATAGGTTACCCAAGGAGCAGAAGGACAAGGTTTTGAATACAAGAAACTTAATGAATTATTAACAAAGTCATAACAGATATAAACTAACAATGTTAATAAGTTATTTATGATATTAAGTGAAATTACACGTTAGACTAGACAACACTTTACCTGTTGAACTTTCTGGGATGGAAGCTGACTAAGTTGTTGAAGAAGTTGCTGTTTCTGTTGGATTTTCAGTGCAGTCACTATATCATCAATGGTTACATTTTGTGTTCCTAAATTCTGCTTCGGAAGAGTCCGAGGTGTGGCAATATTCTGGTAAAATGGTTGTACAACAACATGGGGAATTGAAGGTGTGCCTATCCGAGCCCTATTAACCTCTTGAGTTAGGAATGAAGTGGGTGTCTGGTCTATGAGAGCGACTGACGATTTAATATCTGAAATTAAACTTTGAGTTTGGTTGTTTGGACTGAAATTCACAGAAGTTGTCATCTCTACAGGAACATTCCTATATGATGTTTCTGGCTGGGGAGAAAGTTCTGACAGATTAACATCAAGTGACTGATCGCTAATAGATGAAAGAGTTACTTGTTGATCATTCTGTTGTAAAGAGATCTCTCTTGTCAGAGACTCGGATGTTGCTCCTACATGGTCCAGTTGTATGTCATCCTCAAACTCCTTCAAAGAAGGGTCATAGAGGTCACACAAACTCAGCAAGTCTCCATTAAAAATCTCTACAGATGGGGTTTCCAGGTCATTCAAAGGACTCATTAAATAACTTATTTCTGGAAAAATAAAAACACAAAGACTTTGTGTGTGTGTATATATATATGCAGCTGAAGTATAGGTTACTTGCCTTAAATTAACACTATTTACACAAGTTTCTGTCCTTATTTTATACTAACTAAAACAATTATAAACAGTTTTTTCTGTAATCCCTTAACAACACACAAAACCGTATAGATTATCTTTAGCTACTTAAAAGTTACGAATATTTGACCATGAACAAACAATTTTTCAAATTCGAAAATCAAAGAATCTTCATTTCTTCATTAATTACTTATGGCACGACAATTAAGTCCATCTAGAAAGTTCCATCAAGTATTTCTTTAAAGATCACAGGTTAATAGATATTAATAAACTGGATACACGTGTAAAGTCTTTAAAATCACTTTTGTTTAATCACAATACAATGCATTCCTTAATTTATACATTAAATCTACTTGTAACTTAGTACATCATCACAGAATTGTCTACGAAGGATCCTGGCACAATCATGACAATATTTCTGTGTGATCTGCAGCTTTAACCCTTCGATGATGTTAGAATTTAAGCATATCTGTTGTTTTTGGATCATACTGACCAGATGCAACTTAAAATGACCTTGAACTGATAAAATATTTTATTCATAATGTATATTAGAAATCAAATAATACATCTTAATAAAATCAAATATATATATTAGTGTATCAATGTCATGGAAACCAGCGTTGAGTCAAAAAAATAACCTGAAACATAATAGGAGGGCTAAGAAAATTTTTGGTTTTTGTATTTCCATCCTGAAAACCAATACTAATATGCACAACACAATCTTTGCAAAATAGTGCGTTGTTTTTACTATTCAGTTTATACGCTGTTCTTGCTCGTCTTCTTTTGCACTTCCCAAAAGTAACCACTCAATACCTATGATCCCATTCTAAACATACTTGTATAACTACAAACTTTGTCAACAGTCATCACTAAATGTCCAGTAATCCATTCACTTCAAAGGCGAAGTACATATCAATATTTTGTCTGACAACATAAATAAATCCTTGTGTTCGGGTGCTTCCTACTTCAAAAATAGACCAACTTATAAAACACAATCACGAAAACAACTGTTGTGCACATACACTAACAACCTACTTTATGTGGTTTAATCACATTTTATACAAAATTATACCAGTTCTTAAAACGACAGGTAATCCTCTAAAACCTGTAAGTATAATCTCTAGATAGAAAAACTAAAATGAAAAATAATTTAGGATCCAGAATGAAGGTTCACGAGATTTTTATCTATAAATAAATTTTATCAAAGTATACTAAATGCCCTTTAGCTTTTTATACATAGAACTTATTCGATTTTTCATTAAGGGGCTTAAAGTTAACACTAGCATTATGATGGTTAGTACTAAAGTTGTAATTGTAAAACTTAAAAAGGCTTAAGAAAAAAAATTGCTGGTATGTTTTAGAAGAAATAGGTTCACAGATTCTCAATGTCGACTATCAATACATCAAAGATACATGCATTTTAGTCATTTATATTGCAATATCATTTGCTTGCCCATTTTAGTTACATGGTAAACCTGGGCTAAGTGCTAGGAAATAGGCTTAGCGAGATCGCAGTGTCATTTTTTTTTTCACTAGTTGCCAAGGCAACTAATACATGGGCTAGCCAGCTAAGCTCATATCACTCATTGGAAGTAATAATGAAATTATTTATACTGCATTTATTCTTTCCATACCCCTAATTTGTCCGTGCTAAACACAAACATTAGGACCTCTTTTATGATATAATTCATGTTAAACTTTTTTTATTCTAACAGTCATAAGTCTTTGGAACAAATTGTCTTCAGATGTGATGGATACATTAAAGTTAAGGAAAAGTTACTTTTTAAATGATAAGTGCTGGCCTAGAATTTTTATTATTTGCAAGTTTAATTTACTGGATGGGACAACCAAGATGGACTAACAGGCTCCTTGTAGTCCTTAAATTTTTTTTATGATCTCATTGAAATCTATGAGATTACTGAGGGACTAATACCGTAAAAGACTTGACTTCTTGGTGCTATATTCTAAAGATAAGAGGAGGAGAGAACGTAAGCTTAAAATTTGGAAAAAAAAGAGAAGTTTTTTTTCTTTTAATTTTACACAAAGCTACACGAGGGCTATCTGCTAACCGTCCCTAATTTAGCAGTGAAAGAATAGAGGGAAGGCAGTTAGTCATCACCACCCACTGCCAACTCTTGGGCTATACTTTTATCAACAAATAGTAGGATTGACCATCACATTATAATGCCCCCACGGCTGAAAGGGCTGGTGATTCAAACCTGTAACCTTCAGATTGCTGGCTACCAATTGAAATACTTTTATTTTTCAAATAGGGTGATGGACATGCAAAGGCAGCCTTAACTGTATGTTAACTATCATTCCAAATTTACTCAGTGTATTTACACAAAAGGCTGCAAGCTTCTAGTAAAATGTACAAGCTTCTCATATATGGAGAAACAGATGTGTTACAAATGTATTTGTACTCAAGGTGTGTCTGTGAATTGCCAAAGTCAGTTGAAATGCAAGGTGATGTTCATGTGAAGAATAAAAATACTTTTGCCCATTGTATAGTTTTCGTATTACAATTGTATAA